TCTGGTGTTCCCTTTATTGTTGCTTTATTGTCTTATTTATTATTTGGTGGCTGTTATAATTTTGGTATAGTAGTTGTGACTTATTCACACTATATATATTTGGCTTCCGCAACAGACTATGCCGGCCAAAATTTGAATACTTTTTTGTTGGACAGTGTCATCGCCATGCAAATTCGAGGTTACCCATCCAACATCAACTATGGTACTACATAGAAAATTAGCAGTACATAACTTAAACCTTAAATCAAGGCCAAAACAAAAATTTGAATGTACAACAATACTGTGCTACAACACTGACAAGTTTGTTTCATTTTGTTGGTCTTTTCCTTTCCTTTTCTGGTTATGCACACAACAAAGAATTGTTGCCTGTTGGTGTTAGCACTATCATGTAGGTGTTGAGAAAGAGTAAAAATCTCAATATTCTGAGATACAAGGACCAGGTTCAATACTATATTCTTGGCCATCAACATTCCTACAGTAAGCAGTGGTGTCGCTGTTCCTGCTGTCGCTGATGTTAGTTGTATTAGTTGCATTGTTATATCAATACATGGCACTGACATACTGCGGTTCAGCTTTATGGCGATAGCTGTGCTCGGTGTTCCAAATATATTCTGGTAAATAACATTGCTGATTTGCACTCCAATTACCTATCATGAAAAGGGTAACGAATATTTATTTGTACTCGGTGTTATACACCAAATCAAGAAATTTTAACTTAACAGAAAAAAGTGTGTGAAAGGCATTTGTTGTGCATTCATTGGTTTGGTGTGAATATTTAGACAAGTTTTTATTAAGCTGAATATGCATTTAAAGCAATGTTAACTTGCATTACCATTTCCTTACAAGCTCCTCGAACATCACAATAATTCTGGTCAATTATAATGGGATTCTTGACTGAGTTAAATTCAAGATTCTCAAATATGACATCTCGTACATATCCTCTGCCAACCTATTCACAAGAAGTTAATGGTAAGCGGCTGATGGATTTCATATACTATTATATACTATGAGATCAACTGAAACCATTATTTTCGACACTAAACATAGATATATACTAAAAAACTACTAAAAAATTCAACAAATACTAAATTATGAACCCATAATCACAAAAAGCTAATTAAGAACCTTGAACATTGAGTCCATTGAGTTTAAATCTTGAATCTGCCTTTCGTTTTGATCAGACATTTAGGAAGAGTAAATTCACGTGTGAAGTTTCAATAGTATTAGTCCTGCTTTTAGTTCATTTTTTCAATGGCTAAGTCTGGTTAGTATACCTGCCATGTCTTGATGCGAGCTCCATTTGTAGTTCCATAGAAGAAAGCATTGCTCACATGAATGTTCTCTACTTGAGCAAAATTACCACCTTTCCCTACAGATTTAGAAGATAAAAACTGCTACAACTGTTGAAGATTCTTTTGTCTTTAGCTTTCAGTAAAATTCATTTACCATAAGAAAGAAGTTAATCTCTACTGCATGTTAGCTGAGTTCAATTTTTGGCCTCGTTGAAGTCTCTATGCCAAAATCCTAATGATGGGGTGGGATGGCCGGAATCTCTATGCCAGATCAAAATATTATTTCCTTTTTGCCGGAAACCTTGGCAACCCATAAGTGAACGATCCCTTCATTTCAAGCCAATTTAAACTTAAGGAACTCTTATAGTCTTTTTCCACCTTTTTTTTCCATCATAGTATAGTTTATTGTTATTAGAATATTAGAACTTCACCACAAAAGGATGGAGTGGGATGGCCGGGATCCCTTCGCCCTTAATCAGGGGCTCAAACTCGAGCCCCAAGAATAGAGAATTTCTTAGTAGGGAGTGCTTAACTCCCTTAGTTGGCCTACCCTGTAGATATCTGGATTAGTCAGACCAGTGGGTTGCAGAAACTGGATAGATAAAACGAATAAAAAGAAAGATCATAACATGGTTTTTGTGGCTGCAAGGGGGACAATAAAATACTGTCGACTTTAAACTACCGCAAAACACCGATGAGAAGACAACCTTATACCATGACCTGGTCCACATTGAATGTTGTATCTTTGGACATTAGAAGAATAATCTCCAATTGAAATGCAATCATCCCCTGTTGATCACAAGGCTAAAACAAGTCAATACATGAGTAATTAGTAAAACATTTGACAAGTTAAAAGTACCAGTGCTGATTTTAGAATTGGTAATGGCCACATATTGAGAAGACTGAATGTGAATTCCATCAGTATTTGGACTATTTCCTGGAGATTCAATCATTACACTATCCACTTTGAATCCATTGCATTTCTCTATAAGTATATGAGTTTGAGCACTGTTGCCAAAGTAGATGTTACTCTGCAAAATTAATAAGAGGTGAAGAATTTAAGTAGGCTTGCTATTCATTTTACAAATTTCTTTAGATTCAAGTTTACATGACCTAGTGCGTTTGATATGACGGAAGTCATTTTTCGGGTAAATGTTAAAAAAAGGAAATCAAGTTAAAAAAAAATTACCTGTACATGTCTAACTGATACTGATCTCAATAGAACCTCCGTAGTTTTCTTCAATGTCATATTGAATCTGCTTGGCAGAATTCCCAACAGATTGTCTACAGTACCTTATCTTAATTAGCTCAAGCGTGGTTATTTCTGCAAAATATTGAGGAATCGAATCTAAGAGCCCACACTCTTCAAAAGATAGTCGTTGAAGACATGGAAAGTGATTACTGCTAGCTCTCCAATACCGAATTTCCAAAAATTTCAGTTGCAAAAATTTTAACTGAGGAAATCCTTCCTCAACTACTTCCCACTCCTTGCCAATGCCGGCGTCAAATAGTTGAAGGGCCTCAAGTTGGGGCAACTTGCCAACAACGCCCAAGTTCTTCCACTGCAAACAAGTTTTGTACAAAGTTAGGTTTTTAAGGTTTTGTGGAAAAGCCTCTCGAGGAGGAAGGAAAATAAATGGACTTCCCTTCAATTTTCCCCAACATGGATGATCAACTCGATAAAGTATATCTTCTTCATTTTCTGCCGCTACCATGTGAAATCTCAATTCATGGAGGTGATCTAAGTAGCAAAGATCCTGAAGGACCTTGTCTTTGCTACGACATCTGTAGTCATGACCGATGCCACATATGTGAAGCTTCTTTACGTTTGGCATTAGTCTAAAAATTGACGAAGTTCAATATAATGGATTCCATCCAGACAGACATTCCAAATTTTTCAGAACCATATACTTATCTCTATAGGCACATGATAATACAAGTAATTCCAATCCAAGCTAAGGTGCCTCAGTTGCGGTAACTTCAACATTTCTAATGGTAATACGAAAGGATTTTTAAAGGAGTCAAAAGGTGGACTCTTGAGTATAAATGTTTGCAGATAAACTAAGTATCAGTGCATTAGGTAATATTATATCGAATATAGCTTATATATATATATATATATACTTACACTATACTATGCACTGAGTATTAGTGCCTTAGCTAATATTATATCGAATATAGCTTATATATATAATAGGGAAAATGCATAAGTACCCCCTTGACCTATACCCGAAATCCCAACTACACACTTTTTCTTTGCGGGAATCATATTCCCCCCTAAACTTATTTTAAATGGAATTATTTGCACCTTTAATGCTGACGTGGCAGAGTGTGTGTATTTCACTCTCTTTTGGGAGAGTGAGAAGAAGGAAAAAACGATTTTTCAATTTATTTTTTATTCTTTTTTACCATTTTTTCTTACTTTTTTTTCCTTTTCCTTTTCCTTTTTCTTTGTCTTTTTTATTTTACTTTTTTTTTCATTTTTTCTCTATTTCCGGCAGATATTCATTCACCGGCGACTTTGTCTAACCGTTTTTCTTCCATTTTTTCTTTTCANAACCAACTTTGGTCGCTAAATTAAATTCATGTATAATTAGCGACCAAAGTTGGTCTCTATTTAGGTCAACAATGGTCAAAATTAAAAATCACTTTTGTATTTACTATCTAAATAATATAAATGTAAGCCGATAATACTTTTGTAATACAAGGGATGAATAGTACTACGAAGCGTGCGTGTGTGTCCATATATATATATATATACACACACACTTATACTATACTATGCACTAAGTATCAGTGCATTAGCTAATATTATATCGAATATAGCTTATATATATATATATATATACTTACACTATACTATGCACTAAGTATCAGTGCATTAGCTAATATTATATCGAATATAGCTTATATATATATAATATATATACTTACACTATACTAAGTATCAGTGCATTAGCTAATATTATATCGAATATTGCTTATATATATATATAATATATATACTTACACTATACTATGCACTAAGTATCAGTGCATTAGCTAATATTATATCGAATATAGCTTATATATATATATATATATAGTATATATATATACTTACACTATACTATGCACTAAGTATCAGTGCATTAGCTAATATTATATCTAATATAGCTTTTATATATATATATAAAAGCTATATTCGATATAATATTAGCTAATGCACTAATACTTAGTGCAGAGTATAGTATAAGTATATATATATATATATAAAAGCTATATTCTATATAGAAAAAAAAATTAAATTCATTTGTTTGTAAAATAGCGACCAACTTTGGTCGCTATTTTGGTCAAACGGTCAAATATAGCGACCAACTTTGGTCGCTATTTTGGTCAAACAGTCAATACTTATATAGCTACCAAAATAGTGACCAAAGTTGGTCGCTATTTTTAAATCCAGGAGTAAAAATCGGGTTTTCCCTCTCAATCTCTTATTTTCTCTCCAAAATTTTTCCAAACTCTCTCAACATATTCTCCCCCCTTCTCTATTTCCCTTGCACAAATCAATCCCCCCACCTCTTGCCACCACTGTGACCGCGCGCCACCACACCGGAGCCGCTGCTAAACCTGTCGTCGGAGCCGTTGTCCGCCGCCACCACTGTCGCTGAAGTTGCTGTCCTCCACCCTTTGCCACCATTACTTTTTAATCCTCCTTTTAATCTACCAAGGTTAGTAATCTACCTTATTAGCTTTTTAATCTTTAATTTTTGTTATATAATTTTATGTAATTTTTTAGAGTTTTTGTCTATTTAGTATTAGGGTTTTTTGTTTGAATTACATTAGATTTATGAACTTAAGGTAGAAATTATAATCTTTTAGTTCTTGTATTAATTTATATTGAGTTCAATTGTGAAAAGAAACAATTCATTGTCTTAGAAGAGGAGCAATACCTAAATAAGAGTGCCTAAATTCATGCTTTAAACTATGCATTATACATTTATAAGATAAGAAAAAAGAATTAAAGGGTGGAGTTTATTAATGTATTAATTATGAACTTAAGGTCATATTGGACTTTTAGGATATGAATTGGACTTTTAGTTAACTAAAAAAAGATTAGG